TTTATACACATAAACGATAATAGCCAATAGGTTTGTTTGTGTACTGGCTTATTTGAAACTACTGGTAAACAATCAACTCGTTACAGTTTACAAAAAACGGTTCTGATAAAAATGTTAGGATATGGAGGGGAGACCAAGGGGAAATATGATTGTAATCTTTGTATATTCGCCGAAAATATGATTTTGTATCTGTGTTAGATATCCTGTTAAATTTTACCATACCGAACATAAACTTTTATCTACACTGTATATGCTAAACATGCGCACGATTTAAAATTTATTTAAAATCTTTTTTAAAATTTACTTAAAACTCCCTTTCGGGTTACAACACAGAACGTTTTCGGACTAAAAACTAAAAAGCTGTTTCGGACTATGTAATATATTTCTCACGTCGTTTAATTTGATGTGTCATATGCTAATAGTAGTTAAAGTTATAATTTTATACGTGCCTTCGACGTTGGAAATTTTTACGGGAGTGAATCGACAAAAGCATTACATAATATAGGATATAGGTAAGATAGAGACAGAAGATATATTTTCTCTCTCTTTCTTTCTCGAGAATAAAAATGTGCATTTTGTAAATATATTTAATATTTATTAATATTATTATTATTTTTCTATTCTGTTCATTCTGTTCATATTTATTTTGAGCCTAGTTAGGTATGTTAAATTATAAATTAAAACTTCTAGTTCAAATATCTTAAGAAAGATCAAATGTGTACTTATGTACACAACCAACAACAATTAAATTTTGCATCTGTCAATGTCAGACAAATTTACAGTTGTATCATGAAACAATATTTTTATTTTATTATTATTACCTATTATCATGGTAAATAAACATATGCGTAAGTAAGATATATAAATATACATATATAAATATACATGTATACATATGTTATATATATATATATATATATATATATATATATATATATATATATATATATATATATATATTGTCGATTTTTAATACTTATTATGTTATATTATATTGAATTATGTTGCAATGTATTGTATATGTATTTTTAAAATTAATTTTATTGCAGAGTATGTGTAAATTTTTTTTTTGCTTTCGACTCCTTTAATACATATATTGAAATAAAAATATACACTTTCGTCAAAATATTGATTTAATTCTTTATTTACTGTACTCCTATTAAAGGTCAAATGTTAATTATATACCTCTACCTAAATTATATACTCTTACCTATAGCATTACATATGTAATGATTGTGCAGATTGACTAGCATATAAATTTGTAACGGCGAACGTGTGTATAACTTCAACCGGCAGTCCCACTGGACTGCCAGACGGGTTTTTTGTTTATTTTCTTAGTCCTTTTTCAGGTCAATGAAGCAAATTTACCTTATGCTTTTTATATAAAGGAAATATGTTTAAAATTACCCACAGTGTAATGTGGTATGTTATGTATCCTCCTTTTATTTGCTATTTTTAATGTTGGGATTCGACCAGTTGTTTACTTTGTACTCAGTCTAATGACTGAATATAACCATTATTCTGTAGGTCAATAAATCAAAATTTTTCTTTTGATAAATCTATTTTTATTCATAGTGTCCTATGTGGTATCTCGTATGTCGCAATAGGTTCAGTAATATTGAAGATACTGTGAAGTGCTTGTTTAGTAGTTGCCTTGTTTGATTTCTTTACTAAATATATTCATTATATCTGCCCCTTTAATATGTCGCATGTTAGGACTCGAACAGTTGTTTATTTTGTATACAGCCAGAGGCCTTAATTGGATCAATACATTAAAATTTGTCTTATAGGTAGTAAGTCTACTTTTATCTCTAGTGCTCCAAGATACCTCGTATGTCGCTATCCGTTAATTAATAATAAAGATAATGTGTGGTGCCCTTTTAGTAGTCGCCTTGTTTATTTTTTCTATGTAAATATATTCCTTATATCCTCCCTAGGTCTCATATTGGGAATCCATCAGTTGTTTATTTTTTATTCAGTCGGAGGCCTTCTTTAAGTCAAAAAAACCAAAATTTGTCTTATAGTAAATATATTTGTATTTATAGTACCTATAATATCTCGTATGTTGATATACGATCATTATTATGAAAGAAAGTGGGTAGCTTCCTTTTGGTGGTCGCCTAATTTTTTTTTCTTACTTAATATTATTCCTTATTTTCTCCACTTTCATTTGCTATGTCGCTTGTAAGAATTCGTTTAGCTGTTTATTTTGTACTCAGCAACAGACCTTCTTTAAGTTTGATAAAAAATAGAACAACAAGATAATAAAACAAAATTTGTCTTTTAGTTAAACTATTTTTATCCATAGTGTCCTATGACATCTCTATGTAACTACGACATTCACTAATAATAAAGAGACAGTGTAGTACCATCTTGATCATCTTGTTTGTTTTTTCCATCTTATTATATTCGCAATATCCTTTCCTTTGATTTAACGTATCACACATTCCAACCGTAACAATAACAAAGGAAATATGATGTAATGCGCTCGTAGTAATGCCCCAACGTGTGTGTTTTATGCCTCAACATATTCGCTGGCCCCTCTCCGTTTCCAATGACATATTGTGCGTCATGATCCGACGAACCACTCTACCCAGACCACAAAATTCTCAATAAATGAGCAGAATGAACCTTAGTATTTTTTTATAGGGAAATTCTTTTAGATGGGAAATGAAGCACAATTGGTATCTTCTTCTTATGGCGTCGTATCCTTCCGATGTTTGGCGATCCAAATGGCAATTGTAGTTTCGGAAACTGCTGCGCAAAAGATTTCTGCAGATAAGTGGTCAAACCATCTCCTCAGGTCTTTCAGCCACGAGTTCTGGCATCTTTCTACTGATCTTTTGCCCTGTACTTTTTCTTTCAGTATAACATAAAGTAGTTCATATCTTTCGCCTCTCAGCACGTAACCCAAGTATTGCATTTTCTTCTTTTTGATTATTCTTAGTAATTCTTTTTGTTTACACATGCGACGAAGTACCGTAACACTAATATCTCTTTGTACCCATGGAATTCTTAACATTCGTCTGTATATATACATCTTAAAGGCATCTATCCTTTTTTTTTCATTTCAGAAGTCCATTGTCTAACTTTCACAGCCGTACAGTAAGACAGAAAAACGTAACATTTAATCATTCGGATTCTAAGCTGCAGACTAAGGTCTGATCTTGTAGAAAATGTTTTCATGCTATTTAATGTTTTTCTTCCTTGTTTGATTCTTGATAGGATTTCTTTTTTTTGGATTACACTGACTATTGATATTTACTCCCAAATTACCGCATTTATTATATTTTGTACTTCTTATGCGTTGCTTGCTGTTAAGACGGTTACATTAGCATATGTAATGTTGTCTATGTTGATTCCGTTAATCTTAATTCCGCCTTCGATCTCATCTAATGCTTCTCTGAATATAGACTCCGAATACAAATTAAACAGTAGCGGTGATAAGACGCAACCCTATGTCACTCCTTGTCGGATTTGTTTATCTTCGGATGTTGTGTGCTGTATTTCAATTAATGCCAGTATAGTTTTGAGATAATTCGCAAGCCCCCTTCGTCAACTCCAGTTGTTCTCAGCATTTCCATCATCTTTTGATGGTTAACGCAGTCAAATGCTTTTGTATAGTCATTAAAACATACATAAATATCTACATTCATGTCTCTGCATCGTTGCATTAACACATTTAAAGCAAAAAGAGACTCTCGTGTTCATTGACGTATTGAGTGTCCCTCATCTGAAACTCGCACTTCTTGATAATTCGTGTATGGATAGTTCTGAGAAAAGTTTTAATGACATGAGACATCAAGCTTAATATACGATAAGCATCGCATTGTGAGGAATTCGATTTTTTTTTGAAATGCTACGAATGTTGATTTTAGCCAATCTATTGGTATTTTACCTGTGTCATATATCTTATTAAATAGTGTTGTTATTAAGTCTAAGCATTTACTTTCGTTATCTGCAATCAGTTTTAATATTTTGACATTGATATTTTCTGGACCGGTGGCTTTTCTATTTTTCTGAGATTTTACTGCGTGAGTTACTTCTTCTTTAGTTATTTCTGGGACTTTCTCATTTATTCGATTATCTGTGGATGGTGGAGAACAAGGTCTATCGTCGTCAACAAGAGTCATCATCATTATTTTGGCTATAAAACCCTGTGTGGGTCCTAGCCTCCCCAAGAATTCTCTTCCAGTCGTCCCTATCCATCGCCTTCCTTCGCCAAGCACGTATTTCCATATTTCTCATATCTTGGTCTATATTATCTAGGAATCTTGTTCTGGGTCTTCCCCATCTTCTTTGACCAAAAAGAGTTTGTATGTATTTTTTCCATCTGTCTAGTTTGTCGTCTGTACCCATAATTATTTCGTTATTATTATTTTTTTAAATTGTTGCTTGTCTGTTTTTGATTCTGCCTGTTATTTCTTTTACTTTTTTATAAATATTAAACGTATTTTTCCTCAAGTTGTTCGATTTCTAGGTATTTTGTTTATATCCAGTTTTTTTTTTTCTCCTCCCTGTACTTTCTTCTAATGATTTTATAAATTCGCTTGTATTCTATTGGGCTTGTTTTATGTTTTTGTTTTACGTCCATAAGGTCCATGATCTCTTACGTTATCCATTCTGGTTTTTGTTGTGTTTTATGAGCTCGATGTCTTCTTCTTGTATCTTTGTTATTTTTGTTTTTAGAGCAGCCATGTTACTTCAATGTCTGTCTGTAAGAAGTTATCGATCGTTTTTATTTCTTTCTTCCTTTTGATATTCCAAAATTAATATTCCTGGAACAGTTCTGCGTGATCGTAAGCTTTTTAGTGGGTCAGTGGTATTATCGTCACTGACAACTGGAGTAATATTTCATTGAATAATTTTTGCATTAAAAAATCTTGAATTTTCAGAATAAATTTTATAAACGCAATGGAAATTATTTTTTTGGTTTTTAACTTCAGATTTAAAGCTAATTTAGTCCATATGTTAAATCTATATTTTTTTTATTATTTTAGACTCGTCTCAAGGGGCTATAGCTAATGAGAGTAAGTATACAGAACTTTAAAAAGAGGTTTTCATAGCAATACTACTGTTTATTTTTCAGTGTGTAAAATCTACACAGAGAACGCTAAGAAGAATAACAGTTGTCCTATCCCACTTTTTACTCCCTTAATATCTAGGGGTTTATTCGCAGAAAGGGCAGAATTTCCTCATATGGTAAATATATTTATAAAACTGCTTTTTGCTTATATTTTTAAAAACTAAAATTTTTTTCGTGATATATTACTAAGAAATATGTAAAAAGAATAAAATGTTAAAAAGTATTTGTACGTATTTAATTTTTTTTCAATCACTTTTTAATCATTTTAAATAATATTTTAATTATTTTTCGTACAGTTCTGATATAAAATGTTTTGTAACGTATTTATACCACATTTTTATAATTGAATATAATATGGTGTTTTGTTATTTGGTATTAAACAAATAGCTGGTGTTTGAGTAGTCAAAGGAATGCTATAAGTTAAAAGAATGCTATTAAATATACGTTTAATCTTTTCATTGGTAAAACTTTGTTTTCCCAATTTTAGTTGGTACATTGGTTTTAAATTATTATTATTCATTATATTTGTTGTTTAAATATTTTAGGTACAGGTTGGTTACAAGGGCGAGAATGGAACTGAGTGGCTTGTTAGTGGTTTTATAATTAGTAAAAATTACGTGATTACTGTAGCTCATGGTACTAGGCCCCGTGATAGGTAAGTCCATCAAATTATTATTATATTATTTTATACACACATACACAATCACACACACACACACACACATATATATATATATATATATATATATATATATATATATATATATAATAATTATATATATATATATATATATATATATATATATATATATATATATATATATATATTGAAAATAATATTGGTTTGCTCTTAATATATTTTAGAGTACAACATACAATAATTCACCTAATAAACTATAAAAGATATTTCGAAGAATATATTTCGAAGAAGAATATATATCTAACATAGACAATATAAATTTAGAAAAACCTATCTTAAATTTGAAATTCTTAAATTATTAAATTATATTAACAAAATTTGGTACCTTTCTATCACTGAATGCCTAAAGTTTTCCAAAATTAAGGGTATAATCACCACTAAATATCTTCTTACTCAGACTCAGTTGTCCTTGTATTTGTGAAATTGCTTTTTGCAAATATACCAAAATATTTTAATTATCGCCTGCCAACAATTTTAAATATGTTTCTTCTTAATAATCTCCACTCACCATATAGATATTATAATTTAAAATTCTTGTAATCTCCATATAATATACTTCAAATATACTGTATACTATGTGCTTGTACTATTGACTGCTTAACTTCTTAATGAATTAACTCCATACTGTCACTGTATTATTGTACTAATAATTAACTATCACTGTATTGAACTAACTGTCTTAATTTACTCTCATACTCTCCAACTGTATCTGACTTAATTAATTATAACTGTCTTGAACTAACTTTCTTGATGAATCTAATTTATTGTCACTAACTTAATGAATTGTAACTGACTTAGTGACTTAATGGTAACTGACTGACTGACTTAATCTAACTTAATGTCTGCCTGCTCCAAATTACCTCGTATTTATATCCTTTTATCATTCCAGACTGTTCATCTCATCAATATATGAAAGTTCTGGAATATTCTACTATGCAAATAGGGTTAACTTCCTTCTATATTGACGTTTTCCAGAAAATTTTTTACCCTTCTAGTGAGAAGCTTATGGACATTTAGACTTTTCAGACCAGAATACACTATTATATATAAACTAAATATCTTAAACTAATAATAGCACTATTTTACATCCGTAATTATAATTTAAATTAAACGTTCCAAACTAATAAATAACCCCATTTTACATCTGTCACTTATTTAGTTCAAAAATAGGCATCGTCAAGCCATAGACAGTGTATATTTGGTTGCCTCACTTAAATATATTTATAATTATTAAAAAAAACTTTTTACATTTATTCTTATGCTAAATTCTTAAAAATACCCTCATATAATTATTTTTTAATAATATTCGCTAGTATATAACTTATAAATTATTTCTTTATTCACTATTTAAGTGAGTTTATTAATTAAAAATCATATAATTATCATGCCAATCTCTTATATATCCATTATCGTCCCAAAAGGTATTTATATATCTTTAGATAGATATATATCTTTAGATATAAAAATATCTTTATAAATATATGCCCCTGCTCAATTTATTAGACTCAACATGAAATTTTCAGTTTTTTAAATTTTAATCGCATTGAAAATATGTTCACTTGGATACTGAGGTGCTGAATGGGTTGCATAACTATTGGGAACATAGTTAAGTAGAAAATGGTATACTTTTTCTTAGAATTGTCAAAAATTTACAGATGACAGTAGAATGTGCTCAAAGTGTGGAGCAACTAATTATTTTACATTTTGATTTTTTTTTACTTAAAATATAGATTTGTGATCAGTTTATTTAAAATTTGTACCAGTAAGTATTGACATTATTACATAATATTGGTTAATTCTTAGTTATAATAGAAAACGATTAATCTAGGATTGGAATTTTTCAGATGGGTAAATCTAAAGATCTTTGTGTTGAGAAAATCTCTTCCATTACTGCTTTACTACAAAATACAGCACTTAGTCAGGGAGAGATAGCACGAAAATGTGGTGTATCCAAGTCGTCAGTGAGAAGATTAAGCCAAAAAGTCAAAGAGAAGCGACCTGTGACGTCAGTTTGGAAGGGCCGATGTGGCAAAAAACCTTCAGTCACCCCCAGAGCACAACGAATTTTAAAAAACTTAGCTATAACACACAGAAGGACCACCCATAGAGATTTAAGAAATAAGTTGGAAGAAGCAGGGTGCTCACTGCTCAGCATCGGTGGCCACTGTACACCGAAATTTCTATAGCATGGGCTTCAAATGTCGCAGGCCTGTTAAGAAGCCAAAACTAACACCACAAATGCTCAAAAAACGCTTAGCTTGGGCCAAGACCCATAAAGACTGGTATATTGATGATTGGCGTAAGGTAAATTATTACAAATCATTTTATTTTCGTTCTTTATAATAATATTCACATTTCCAGGTTTGCTTCAGCGATGAAGCCACGTTTCAAATAATGGATGACAAAGCCCAGTTTGTCCGAAGACGTCCAGGAGAAAAATATGAAAAGGGATGTGTAATTAATACACTTAAACATCCCACCTCAATAATGATATGGTCGGTGATTAGTGGCAAAGGTATGGGACGTTTGTATGTCGTAGAAGGAACCATGCGACAAGACCAATATAAGAAGCTTTTGCAGACAAGATTGTTTCCACTAGTGAACGAATGGTTTGGTAACAGGCATACGATATTTATGCAGGATGGAGCACCTTGCCATACGGCTAAAAGTATTAAAAAAAATTTGTTAGAACAAGAAATTCCGCTCTTACCATGGCCCGCCAACTCACCAGACATGAACCCCATTGAAAATATCTGTGAGTGTCTAAAAAGAGAAATAGCCAAGGAAATAATTACCAACAAGATTCAGTTAATAGAAAGAATCATTTTTCATTGGAATCATACCGAAAATTTAAAAGAAATCGCAGAAAAATTCATAAACAGCATGCCTAGGAGAGTGGCTGCACTTATTAATGCCAAGGGTGGCTTAACAAAATATTAATCTTATAGTACCATATTGTAATAATTTACTTTATTTTTGTTCAATAAATATGCAAAAAGGTTACTACTATCATTTGTGTTATGTTTCTTATTTATAGCTAACATAGTTATAATTATAATTGATTATAAAACACAGAAAACTTGAATTTGCTAAGTGAGTCTAATAAATTGAGCAGGGACTCAATATATATATATATATATATATATATATATATATATATATATATATATATATATATAGCAAAAAATACGACCGTTGATTAAATTTAAAAAATATTCGATAGTTGAATAGCAGAGGTTGTATCGGTCAATAATAGGCAAATGAAAGTCGTCAACTACTTCATTGATTTAATCGAATACGTTTCGCTTTTTAGTTTTCAAAAGCATCATCAGTTCACTACAAATAAAAATAAAACGATGTAAAATATAAGTAAATAACCAAAAGGGTTCATACTTACAAAAACAATTTGTAGGTTTTGTAAAAGATGTTAAAAACACTCTACGATAACTTAACATTAAAAAATTTAAAAACTAAACGATAGAATCGAAACAAAAAACACACAGGAAAAAACTGAAACAGCACTATTGTTTATTTAATTTTTACCGATGGCTTCATCTCAATGTGGGTGTAAGCTCTTTCGAAGACCCAACACAATAATCTCTTGGAATGTTTTCTATCGGTTTTAGGCTGTCATATTTGCACATGTGGCATGTGTCGTCCATATGTTTCTTCGGAAAGCAGTGAGGTACAATTATTAAAAAAGTTAGTAAGCAGAACGGGACAGCCCTATTTTTCAAAAAGGAATATTTTTTTCTACAAAAAAAAATATTTTGAAAATAGGGAAAGAAGAAGGGGATATATATATATATATATATATATATATATATATATATATATATATATACGGATATATTGGGTTTAGTAGTCAATATATTGGCCTTTAAGTAAAACTCTTTTAGGTTTGTTAAGCTATCGAGTTTATTTTACTCTTTTTCAAAACATACTAAAAATTAACATAAGAAAAATGAAGTTCTTATGTCTTCAATAGGCTTACCCTTGTGAGAATTGTCTTTTAAAATTAGCAAAATTTTACATTTTGTCATTATGTCATTAACATAATGACGTTACATTTGATTTACTTTTTATTTCTGTCTATTTATTTCTATTTACTTTATATATATATATATATATATATATATATATATATATATATATATAAAGAGATAATAAAATAACCAGAATAAATGGCAACAATCTTAAATACGCAAATAGTAAACGATACTGATTGAAATGAAAATAAATTGCAACGACTTATAAACAGTGTCATCGAAGCAAGGGAAGCCAGAGGTTGGTAATTATATAAATGTTTACCTAACTATTCGGAGGTTACGATCATAAAGTGTACTGTATAGGTCACGGAAAAAAAAACTGATCGAAAACGGAAGAAATGTTTGTTTTGAACATACCTGATAAAACTGACAAAAAATAAGCGGATTTAAATTAATTTATTGTCAAGATTACACAAACACATAATAAGATATAGCTTAACTTAACCAGATTCATAAGCGGAAGGATTAGTAAAACGGTTATAACAATTTTTGCAATATTACTATGCTCAAGACATAAAAATGTGGCACAACACTTAAAATAGCATTTGGGCAAACGCCTTGTCTTTGTCGCATAGCAACAATAACCTTTTTCTTTTGTTGCCCGTTTTAGCAACATCTGGATCTGTTCCACTGGTTAAACTTTCTGAAGCTGAAGCTGCAATGGTCTGTGAATACCTGTAGTAATATTCGATCGCTGTTTTATTTGCTCTGATGATAACTGACTTAAAAGGTTTCGAACGAAGAGTCTACGTCGTATTTTTAAATTAGGATTTAGCATGTGAATGGATTTGATCCCAGGAACGTTTAAGACGACGTAAACTATCACCATAGGCCGCCTTCTGCTGTTTCTGGCTACAGTATATGAACCAACCATTTGGTCTACAGTGTTAACCCCTGATTTCGACT